TTCTCAGAAAAAATGGCCTGGAGAAGCGAAAATGACGTACGTTGAGTTTATACTTCGCTGCGGGCGCGAGAAATACCGCTCTGCGTGGCCGCGTGCTGCACCATGTGCAGCACGCCGGCGAGGTTGCGAAATATGGCTCGGGCACACGCGGCAGCCAGCGAAAAAACGCCGCGGTACGCAATGGGTTAATAACTATTCACTTTTTGGCTTGCACTTTCCCGAATTACTATTTTCGTCAATTTCGAGGAAACGCCAAGCCACTATTTATCTCCTGTTGGGCGCCCGTTTTGTAGAACACCAATGCCGCTGGATCTTTGCCATAATCTAAGAACGCAGCTCAATTGTCAGAGAGCGAGTGTAGGGAAATTGTAATGAGAGAATGTGTTCATGGAGTGTTTCTTCAAGATGACAAAATTACATAAGTGTCAAGGCGTCTGTGCAGCGATTTCTGGCTGCTTCGTGGCTTAGTTTCGTTCTGGTCGGTGTCCAGCCTTTAGATGTCAATATTATCTTCAGAACCACGGAAGAGCACACATAAGATTCATTCTGATTCCAGCGCTCACGTGGAGTGGTTGTGCCTTCTTGCTGTTGGTAACCTTTTTGAAACCTTCCTGTTTTGTCGACTTCCTTTCTTCCTGCTTTTCCTTCCTGACCATCCCCACTTTTTGGCCAGCTGATTCGTCTTTTGTCTGTTTTCGCGTACAACTTATGGCCAGGTCGAATCGCAGGAAGAGAAATAGCTGTGATGATGGAACAGTTCCCGTATCAGCTAGGACTGATATCGGGGCTGCTGTTGGCATTGGTGTTGGCACCAACACATCCAACGGCAAATCAACAGATACGGGCAACGGTAAACGGCTTTCAACAGATTATAACAAGCTCACTGTTAACGAACTGATCAATAGCATAATGGAATTGAATAAAGACCCCGTAATTAGCCAAATGCTTGCCATTCTGTCGGAAAAAATCCCAAAAGAGTTCAGTGATCTTGTTGACAAGGAGAGACGTTCTCGCAGTCTTGTCATTGCAGGTGTCATGGAAAGTGAAAGTGGCCTACCTCCATCAGCCCGTCAGAGAGAACTTGAAACTACCATTACAAGTGTTCTTGACGCACTAGATGTTGAGTGTAGGCCTTGCGAGATCTTCCGTATGGGGAGGCCAAACCCCGCTAGACCTAGACTGGTAAAAGTTGTACTTCCTACAATTTCTCATTGGCGTAAAGCGTTGGAGTAACGCTCGTAATCTACGGCATGCTGGATTCCCCAACGTTTTCGTACGGAAAAGCATGACACCCGAAGAAAGGAAATTGGATTTTGACTTGAGACAAATGGCTAAGGAAAGAAATAAGAATTCTAGTAGAAGAGAGTGGGTAGTTTTCAGAGGTGAGCTTCAAACATGTCTCTGAGCTGCCTAAGAAGAGCTCGTTAAACGCCTAGACTCGCACGGTCGGCCATTTCCCATTTCTTGTTTTCTACTTAATTCACGTAGCCTTTCTAACAAAATAGACGATTTTCAATTTTTTGTTTCTGTGAATAAACCTGATTTAGTTTTCGTGACGGAAACTTGGTTAAACCCCAAAATCAAAGACTCCGAAATCATAGGTCCTTTACCTTACAACATAGTCGTTATGACAGTGTCAGGTGCAAAGGTGGTGGAGTATGCTGCTTTTTCAAAAGTTACTATTGCTTGCAAGTTGTTTCTTTTGATAACGCGCTAAAAGCTGACGTTACTCTGCCTGATTTGTACTCAGCCGCAGATTTATGTCGTACCAGGTTTATTTTGGTCTATCGCCCTCCCAACTCAGTTAGAGACGATGACGAGGCTCTAATCGACTTGATGGCGTCTCTGAATTCTTGTGACCAAGATACCTTGATTCTAGGCGACTTCAATCTCCAGATTGACTGGCGTAATTTTAGTGCCTGTGATGCCGCGTCAAGAAGTTTCCTAAGATTTTTCCTTCATTCGGACCTCACACAGTTTGTAAAGAAACCTACTCATTTAGACAGAGTTCTTGATATTATTCTCACCTCTTCTCCCATAGTGAAGAATGTTACTATCCTTTCGCCACTAGCTACATCTGACCATGCGGTTATTCATTTTCTAGTTGAAGTTTCACTTCCACCAATCCATATGCCATTTCCTAAGCCTGACTTTCTCGGCACTGATTATACAGCTTTATCCTTAAGCCTCGACGATGTTGACTGGCTCAAAGTTTTCGGTGGTTATTCCTCAGTTTCGGATTTATATTTTAGGTTTTGCTCAATTGTATACCAAAAACTAGCTCTTCATGTTCCAATACGTTACCCTCGGTTGGTCATTTCTAACATTTCCTATTCATATTCGGAATCTTCTATTCCAAAAGCAAAGAATTTTTGAGAATTCTCCAAACCCCTTAAATGATGAGCGCTATAGAAAAGTCTGCTCAGATATCAACTACCATCTCAAAAAGTTTCTGGGTATATCGGGAGCGCCGCCTAGCATCTAATAATTCAATGAAACATCTTTATACTTACCTTAATAGCAAAATGAAATGTGGCTCTACTCTGCCCTCTTTAGTTGATGATAATGGATGTTGGTATCATACAGATGCTGGCAAAGCGTCTGCCTTGGGTAACTTCTTTGCGAGAACATTTAATAGTCAAAGTTTTCCATCCGCTGAGCCCCTAAGTTGTGGATTACCAGCACAGCATACTTTATGTGACATTTACTTCAATTCTTTCAATATCTATAAACTACTTAGACGTCTTAAACCCTCAGTTACGGAGCCTTATGATGGTATCCCTCCAATTGTATTTAGAAAGTGTGCCCTTTCGCTTTCCAAACCCTTGGCTCACATTTTTAACGTTTCTTTCATGATGGGTGAGGTACCGGAAGTTTGGAAGGAAGGCCTTAATTACTGCCATTCCAAAAACACCGGGAGCCCAGGCTCTTTCGGACTTTAGACCTATCAGTATCACTCCTACGCCCGTAAAAATAATGGAGAAAATTATCCGAGAGAAGTTACTATCCTTCTGTCATAAACGTGAACTTATTCCAAAACAACAGCATGGCTTTCTCCCCGGTGCAAGCACCACTACCAATCTTGTTGATAGTCTGTTTGACTGGTTCAGTGCAATAAATCTAGGTAAATCTGTAGATGTGATTTACGTGGATTTATCCAAAGCATTCGATAAAGTCAATCATAATAAACTGTTAACAAAACTTGAAAGAATTGGTATACGTGGGTGCCTGCTGAATTGGCTGAAGTCGTACCTACTTTCTCGTCATATGACTGTTAGAGTAGGCTCTAATTTCTCCGATAGACATCTCTGCGCTAGCGGGGTCCCTCAGGGTGGAGTACTCTCACCTCTCTTGTTCTTGCTTTACACGTTGGAGCTACCGCATATTGTTGCACATTCACAAGATATCAAGATCCAGATCTATGCTGATGATATAAAACTGTATGGAGTCTATGACTGTTCCAATCGTGACAGTGTCCTTACCTCTCTCAAACTAGCTATAGAAAAGCTAAACACATGGGCGTCTGATCTTGATTTAGCTATGAATCTAAACAAGTGTTACGTGCTTCATATTGGAGATGAAGCTCCCAATATCTATGATGTCAATGGTGTCACTTTGAGGAGTTGCGAGACTATTAGGGATCTTGGTATTATTATTGACTCATGCCTGAAATTTTCATCTCAGATTGATTATGCGGTTAATAAGGCGTATAATGCCCTTTTTAGTATTTTTCGCAACATTCGAAGCGACAGACCTGAAATCCTTCTTCGTCTATACAAAGCCTATGTTTTGCCCCATTTAGAGCATTGCTCTCAAGTTTGGAGCCCAGTTCGTAAAAAAGACTTACTTAAAATTGAAAAAGTCCAACATATGGCCACTAGGCTGATTTTTATCCGAATGAATAAGGGTGTTCGCCGGCGTAACATCCCAAACTACGGTGAACGGTTAACCTTGTTTGGCCTAAAAACCTTGCAATATAGAAGAGTTGTCTCAGACCTAGTTTTTGGATTTCGCATCCTTCGTGGAGAAACTAAGCTAAGACCCAGTAGATTTTGGGTATTTAGACCTAGTAGCGAAAGAGGAAATGGCTTCAACTTGCATTACTCTAGGATCCAAAACAGGAATTTCGCTCTCCTATTCAACTTTCCCCTATACCGCGTGGCTAGATGGTTTCGGCTTTTACCTAGGGAACTTATGAGCTCCGAAAATAGCAAGGTTTTCAAATCCAGATTGAAGCGAGTCGACTTATTGCGTGCACTAAACATTGATGATCTGTATTAATTTGTCCAGTTTCAGAAAGAATCGAGTTCTATAGTTTTCTTTATCCAACCAGGATTTTCTCCTACTGGAAGTGAATATTACCACATAGAAGATCTATCACCAGATTTGAGCCTGGATGACATTTTATTACATTTAAAGTTCTTGCTGTGTGTATCTTTGTATTCTTGTTTTTACAGTATATGTAAGAAGGAGGCACACTGGCTATCTAAACTGAATCCTGAGTGTTTTTTCTGAATTGATTACATTGATCACTTGTTCCACTGTAGTCTGATGATCCTCAAATGTGTCTAAAGTAATTGTTATCCTCAAAGTAATACTCAAAGGTTTCCAGAGCAGATGAAACCCCCTGCTTGAGATCCCTCGTTCGCCTGGGGTCCTGAACGGATGCGTTCGTTCGGGTTAAACCGTCAGCGGGCCCCAGTATTACGACAATCTTGCGTTCTGAAGGTCGATCTTGCAGCTGGCCTCATCAACTGTCAAGGGGAGGACTATATTACAAGTTTTCAATTAAAATCTTCACATAATCCTTTTTCTCTTCTCAGGAAGTAGTATGAATAGCGTGTGATCCTTCTGTCTGTCTCAGTGTTTAGTTGAAATATTAAGTTTCAGCGCGTTTATCCTTAGCAATTTGTGGCACACCTCATGGTGTAAATAAATAAATAAATAAATAAATAAATAAATAAATAAATAAATAGGCCGTATTCTAGAAAATTGTAATCGGGCGAAGTGTTCGGGGTCAATACAGGAATCCTGTCAGCGCAGTACCATTACCATAGGTTCAACCATACGCGCAGTAGTGCGCGTCAGCCAAGCTTGTATAGAATAAACGAGAAGTTGCTGGAGTAGTCCTTCTTCGAACGACCACAGCTTTGTATACACAGGGTACTGCATCGCTGTGTGAAACACATGATGGTCTCGTACTTGGCCGCTAGGGGAGGGGGGGGGGGGGTGGAGAGGGGATCGTATGTGGCATTGAGAGGAATGGAGAAATTGGCCGCGCTGGGACGAATTTCTTCCAGGTTGCTGACTTTCGCGGTTTTTTTCCGTTTCACATGTGCTATTCACCCCCCCTCCCCTACCCCCGCTCGATGGAAAATTATTGGGTGAAGACATAGGAAGCTGGGAACTTGTAGAAAAATGATAGGTAGATGTTAGGGAAGCATGGGGGGATCGTACCGAGACCCTACTTCGAGGGAGGGGGGCGTCGTACTGACACCAGTTCTCACACATACGATGCTGAAAAAACACTAGGATCCAAAAGATTTCCTGTTCCATTCCCGTTCGAAAAAATCCCCCTTTGTTCAATTGCTGTGAAAGATCCCAAGTTTCCCAGGGAACACTGTGGCCACCATGGCTTTCCCAGTCCATTTCAAGACTGAAGTATTTTGAAGAACGCATCAAAATTAGTATGAAATAGCTCATTGGCTGTCGTTAATCACATTTCTCCATTACGCCTTGTATCTCCCACGCAGGAGGTGAAGGCAAGTTGTAACTTCTCTGTGATGTTGGCCCGTGTTTGGTCTCGTGGAAAGGTCCAGAGTGACGTGACATCCCCAGCTTTACCCTTACTCAGGGTTTACTGATCCCTTTGCTCCAGAGAGAACTCGTGCAAAAAGGCGAATTTGTAATGGAGCTTTTTGCAGCTCCTTCTTTTGCGGTGCGAGTACAACAGTAACTCACCCGTTTATTTCGGCTGTATAGTAGTAAGTGGGGCAGTGCCCAGTCGAGATCCACAAGAATACTATTTCAACATAAGATCCGGCCTTATATAGGGTGAGGCTAGACAACTAGAGAATGAAGAAATAGTACACAGTAGGCGATGTGGCGGAATCAAATCGCGCGGGATTCACATCCCTGGCTCGCAATCAATACAGGCTCTTAACAACTACAGTTATGTTAAACAAAGTGCGAGTGAGTGTACAATGTTACAAGGTAAGAGTTTACAATATTTTAAGAATCTAATTACAACACTTCAGAGGATATAGAGGTAGCATAGAATATAGAGATTCATAGTACGAAATGTTCTGGGGGATTCCCTTACAAATGATGCTCCATGACCCGTGGGCGAACATTGATGCGACTCCCCATATTACCGCGCTGCCAGCGAAGAAGCACTGCGTTACATGCATGATTATTCCGGCTTCTTTGGCCCGTACTCCTTTCTTACTTCGAATATTAGGTTGTCCGGAAAGTTTTGAGAAAATTTCACACTTTTAGTTTGAAGAAGTGTAGCAAGCGAATGCCCCAACAGAAAGTCATATTTCAAGTGCTATGAGAAAGAGAAATGA